ACGTCTTGATACTAGACACTAGTCTTGGCCTATAAGTACAACGCAGCTTCCTTTACCTCCTAACTAATGATATCTGCCATCGGTGTGACGTTTTCTGTAAATGACATTTTAAATATCCTCAGAACCAAAGCAATGCACTTTCAAAGGACCATTTACAGTTAGAGGTTGTGCAAGTCCTTTATCTTTGCAAACTTTTTGGGCTGCTTTTTGGATAAGCTTTCACGCTGTATTAAGGGCTCTTCTATAAAATTGGTACAAACCTTGTAAACCTCTTCGTAGGGCTCCTTCATCTCATGATGCATGTTTTTAGCGGTCTCAAAGCGTTGTCGTTCTTCAAACAATTTGTTGTTGAAATTTGCTGATTATTTCTAGGCCTATAGGGGTACCGTGACAATGAATGTGGGCCTCATTGAATGCCCCCAAATACAGTTAATGCATTACGCACATAACATCGAAAATCGTATGTCTGTCATGTCAAACAATGCCATAATAAAATGATGTAGCAGCTTTTAAGCATTCTCACTCAGTTTCAAGTGTCGTTGCTGCATGTCTATTCCGACAAAGGAAATGCAGAGGAACCTTCAACCTCGTTCCCATGCATGACAATCGCACCGTTAATTTTACAGCTGCGTGGTTTGATTCTCGAGATTTCTGTCCACAAAGATCAGGCTTCTGCGCATGTCCATCCGTTGGATATAATTTTTTAGGCACAATCAACACGGCCCTCTCAGCTCCCAAATCTTCTGGACCCTAATGGGAGTCCACGTTGGACGATTATTAACCAAACTGCCCAAACAAAGGCATTGTTTACACTGGCATCTTGGGACAAGCGAGGCTTGAAATTCAAAATGACGAGCAAAATCTTATCCCGTCCATTCCCGACGAGATTTTCACATCATGATGCCCGGTGTTCATATTAGGATGATCGACGACATCAATTTTGAAAGAATTATCAATTACATGCATGCTTTGCTGTAAAACAGAAATAATAATAGCTTTTCCGGCTCTGCATCTGATAGGTGAATTCTTAAATCCTTACTGTTTGTGTGCGTGTAAATATAGAATTGCTGTCCTCCTGCTAAAATATTAATATTGATATGGTAACAACCTTCGGCCACAAAATTCTCATCGCATGAAATAAATAATAAATTCTATCCTTTCAAAGGAATGCCAAGTACAAAACCAGCATATAACTGTAAGCATCGGAACTGAAATTATGGTGCTTCTTGGAGCCGAAATTTGAAAGCCGAAACGGATCCGTTCCAGATAAAGGCATCAAAATCGGTGTAACACGTCGCTACAGATTTCTGACCATGAATGTCACAACGACGTTGTGCCAAGTTAATTGCTTTCTGTGGGCCGTGTCGTACACCCGCCAGCCAATTTCGCCATTTTGGTCTTGTTTCCCTTACAGTCCTCGGCCCCAGGCGCACTGTTCTCCTTTAATCCTACACTCATCCATCGGGTATCCCTTCGCCGTGCTAAAGTAGGGTCAGACCTAAATGTCACTGCCAAATTTCCAGCAGACGGTTTTACATCAATAAGATCCCCGATAAGCAAACAGCCTCTGTTTTCCATCTCAGTGGCCGCTAGAGCTGTCTCCGCGAAAGAGGCTATCTCAATCTTGGATATGTTCTAGTTAAGGGAACCAGGGGGAGGGTTGTGTAAATACGCTACAGAACCGTGTTACTGCAGCTGAAACGGTCATGTTTGTTTACCCAAAGCCTAAGTTTCAAACTATGAAAAAATTGTAAAATTTGATTAGAAGCATAACTTTGATACTTGGATTTGATAGTGGAGATGCTTGATTGTTCCCTTGTATGCCACCTAACTTCCGTCTTCCGTCTATTTTGGCATTATGTGTGTTGCTTGTCTAAGAGCGATGCTGGTTTATCTTAAAGCTTTGATTGTTTTGTTGTTATCGTTAGACGGCTAACAAAGTTCTTTGGCTTTTATCTTGGATGTGGTGATAATGTTTAACTAATGTTCTACGACGTGAGTTTATAGGGTGGCTGAAATGAGTTTTTATAAGATACCTTTTTGTGCTACTTTATACTCTTTTTTGATATATGAAACTATGTGACATGCTTTTTTTTAGGTTTAATGTGCCGAGAAAGGTGTACTTATTGAAACATTCATAATTATCTGTGCTTTTCTGGTTAACTGAGGGCACTATTGCTGTGACGTCATTCATTAACGATTCATTTATTTTTTTAAATTTTGAATCCATAATTTACTCACTGAAAGCATTTCTGAGAAAGGGTTGCTCACTGGATTCTGCACAACAATGAAACACTAAGGAAAAGAAAATTTAGGCCAACAAAGTATGAAAAAGCAGCATTTTTGTGCACAAACTAATGTAACACTGAAGGGTTCTTCCCGGGGTGGCGTCGCAATTTTACTCATGAATATGGAAATCTCATTAGCATAAAACTAGAAAGGCGGCAAACTTTCCTGTAAAATACTAAAAAAAAAAAAATGAAAATAAGGTTAGCTGAGACAGAACGGTGCATTTGAAGCTTTATATTAAAAAATGGCTTTGCAGAAACCCTTTGATTACACTAACAAAAATAAGTACCTATCTGGGGAAGAGAAGGGCAAAGGTGGCCACATAAATGATAAAACCAAGGAGTATCCTATAGGGTTCCAGTCTTGGACATATCAACCTCGTCTGTTATCTTCTTGGGTGGCGAGATATACGAATGGGTATCGAGGCCTGCTTGGCAGATATCGATTTGAGGCCGGCAACCAGTTGTCAAGGCCCGTTTCTGGGGGAGCAAAAAATTTGACAGTTTTGCTGATGTAACCTTTTATGGCCTCTCTGAGGGTTGAGACTGTTTTATGGCTTTACACGCTTTCTGAAGAAATGAGGATGACATGAAATAAACCCATATACCTTTCCATCGTTATTTTTCAAAAACAAAAACAAAACACATGGGGGGGGGTTGTTCCTTTGAGAAAGGCCCCTTTGCCACCCCTCCTCCGGATCAGCCCGTCGATGTGTCGATTAAATTTTCTCCTTAATAGTCTGCAAGTGAAAATACTACATGCATATAGAATGGCTCTCTCTCTCGACAGAGACAAACTTCGCAGACCGTTAGTTGTGTAACTTCGATACACTCTGGAACTAAACCCATCCTACACGCTAAACTTAAAAGTGGAAATGGGGATATTGTCACAAAATGCAAAATACTCAACACGATGATTCTGCACTGCCGAATAGAGACTTTGTTCTAACGTCACACCTGAGGGCAAGTCTTCGCTCTTGTAAAAAAAATGCTTGGTTAAAATCTTGCAATGATTTTTTAATAAAGGAGAAAAACCCTCTAGCGATTGTCGTCGGTGCATGGAAGTGGTCTACTGGTTGATTAGTAATGGATCGGACAGAACTTTGCCGTGTCTGTATCTTTAATCGCCTCATAATTATATTCTGCATGTGGAGGGCTCACTTAATATTCGACAATCCATTTTATGTAACAGCAGGCCTAGGCCTACGTGCCAATACGTGAAACTACTGTCGGGCATTGCAGCTTTCCAAATAGTCTACTGTACTTGGCTAACGGCATCCTTCCAGCCTACTGTACTTGGCTAATGGAATCGCGGTACAAAAAGTGCCTCGTCAGTGTTTACGCATGGTAGGAACCACTTAACATTCTCTGCCAGCCGGGCACGTGATAAGCTGTCATATGAATTATAATTCACAGTTTGAAATGGACGTATTAAAATGGCTCCAGCTTTTGCGTTTTAATTGTTGGCAGAGTTAATTTCACGGTTCGTCGCAAGGGCTTGGAACATCAGAGAGCCATGTATTACGTGTCTGGGACAAGATGTTTTTGACGGATGCAGCGTGTCTCACTTGTATGTAAAATCATATTGCAATCAGAGGATTTGGGACTGTTAGGGTTCAATATCCTACGACAGTTGTGGTAAGATCTGAAACTTTGCTTGGACGCATACCGTGCGTTAAACTAGACTTCATGGATGCCGCACAAAAATGGAATGATGCGTTAACGTTCACCAAAGACATCTCTTGTAGAAAACGAGCCCGATAATATTGGAAGCCGTAGGCCCCTATGCTGTTTTAATGAAATTGTTCGAAAATTCACGCCAAAATGACTAAAAATCACGACCGAGTGATGTATGGGCCTACTCATACGTGTACTGCCGTGTTATTCCGCCTAAGTTGATGAAAATTAACTTTCTGCTGTCGATCATAATAAGCCCCCTAATGTGTGGGGCAGTTTTCGCCTCTTCACAAACAGCCTACTTTTGCTCCGTCGGGTGCGTGCGTTTCAAGGATGCATGCATCTCCAGCTTTCGGCCGTGTAGGCTAGTACATGTATAAGCCTTAATTGTGTCGTCTGCCAACCGCCCGCCCAAATTAATCATTTCCGTTAGGAGCATACATGCAGGCAATCGCGAAATGCTTCTTGTAGGCCCTACGTGGGATCGGATTTTACATCTTCATGGGGCATGGCTTGATCCCCTCTCCCAACAACACCTGCCATTCCCGGGCCAAATTTGTACCATTCGCCTTAAGTTAACCGAGAGAGCTCAATTTTACCAGGGTGCTTATTAAGTATTGTTACTCGGAAAAACAATGCCTATCAAGAATCTGCCGAGAACGAGCCAATTAACAATAGGAATTAGGGCTTTGATTTCGCTGAATATTTTCTTTTACTGAATGGTTATTTCTCTGCTAGGCTAGTTTTTTACATGACGTGCGGGAGCCCAAGGCCACTAATAGATTTCAACTTTTCATCCGGGGACGGACCATGACAACTTTGCCTATCGACAGAATGCAGCACGTGATTTGTGTGTCGTATAAACTGATAATGAAATGAACGGACTTTCAGCGGAAGAAATCGCCTACTGATGATATGATTTCATAAAACCTTCTGATTTGAGCGCATCGAAATGGATAGTCTTGTTCATGACCCGGATGCGGAAGAAAAACAATTCGTGGCATTTTGGCTTTGGCACGGCGCGTCTGCCGAACGTGTACACGACGCAGTCGCGAGTCCGCGGTCTCGACGAAGATAGAAGCGGGGGTGCTCTTTTGGTTGTTAGGTCGTGCAACCTTCACGTGGATTGAGATCGAAAAATGTGTGAAACTCACGAATCGTTTTTCGAGTTTATTCCCATCAGCCTGATGGGATCTGATTTTGGAACAAAAAACAAACAAACAGTTTGCTTATGAACTTTAGAACCGTCGTGCTATTATTAATGTTAAACTAAACTAGGAGATAACCGATCATGGAGCCATAAGGCTAACCAATCGCTGGGAGACTCAAAGGTTATTTCAACTTGGTTCGTCTCTTTCATAAGCTCGGTTGTGATCCTTGAAAGTTGAATGTGACTGTCTGTGGCAAGATCCTCTTTTTACATGATGGCAAGCGAGGAAATTCAAACGTCAAACAACTCGGAAGCCGCGGTAGAACCCCGCCGAAATGGCAAGTGATCTTTAGTGGTTATGCTCGTTATGATTGCATGAATAATCCGCGATCTGACGAAAATTCTTGTAAGCAGTCCTTGAGCTCCTAGTGAGTACGTCGCCGGTTGAGTCTGCAGGTGTTCATGTAACAAGTGGCAAATGGATTTCTCGGGTATCAGTGGCCTATTCTGTGGAGATAACCTTAGTTTATTTTACTTTTAGCAGTCAGCACCTCAACTCATATTTGTTGTGCATCGCACTCGCCGCCACGTTTCTGTCGCACTATCCCACTTTGCCGAGGAACAAACCATGACCGTGTGGGTGAGCAATCATGCATACAATTCAACCCGCCGGAGACCTTGCATAACACAGTTACACAAGAAAACGTGCTAGACGGGATTTAAATCATGTCATGAAAAGAGCGTACGTTTTTTCTGAATTCTAGAAATACGACAAAGGATGTTATGGAAGTTTTACCACTAATGCATGAACTGACTAACATTGCAGCAAGCTATAGCCTACAGTATTTGACAGTCGTGCATTTAGTAAAGTTCTCCATGTTCCACGAGTTTGCAGTTATTTTTTTGTTAGTAATATACATGTACATGTATGTACACGTACATTATGTACATGTAGGGGAGAGTTATATAGAAATCTAGCGCTTCTGCACTAGGTGTGACATGCTAAATGTACATGTATACGGAATGAGAAGTTGGGCATCAATGTAACTTGTGAGGAACCTCTTAATTATTTTAGTTAAGATCTTGTCAAGTTCTGTGTTTTTCTGATAATTACTGATTGAAGATTTTTTTTCTTGTATATTGCATAGAAGAAAGGACTATCCAACCGAAGGGATCCAGTCAGCCAGCTGCCACCATGAGCGCCTTCTACCCCTTAGTCCTAGCCTCCCAGGTTGCAGTGGTCTTGGTCCTGATCCTGGCGGGCTACTGGACGGGGCACTACCTGGGAGGCTTTGCCTGGGACGGCTCGGCTAAGGAGTTCAACCTGCATCCGCTGTTAATGATTCTAGGACTTGTCTTCTTCTACGGAGACGGTGAGTTAGGCTGTGTGAGATTGGAAGACAAGTGAAAGAAAGGGAAGCTCATTAGTACGGCACTCCGCACCCTGGAGTGACTGGATACCTGTGAGGCAGAGATGGTTCTTGTGGTCGATTTAGCTGCTTTGTGCTGAAATGGCAGCATCGAGTTGTATATGGGTAATTACAGAAATCAGGGGTCCAAAAGTGTGACATTTGCATATCCTTGTTATATCGGGCCTTTGTTATTTGATATGGAAATATTACAGGAATTGATTTCAAACTCATTACTGTTTGTTTGGCAGGTAATTTGCATTCGTTCATCACTCTTGGAAATTGTGAATTTGCAAAATCATATGTCAGATGTGACAGGGACGCGAAAAAATATGGACCCCATAATATCTGGAATTACCCATACTCCCCAGGGAGCTGAGATGGTATTTGGAATGTTTCATGGGCCGAATGAGCAGGGGTTGTAATGATGGAAAGCGCTTTGAACTTAGTTAAAAGTGCGATATATAATCCTGTTATTATTATTGTTTTGGTACATCAGGAAGTCAGTATTGATTGCCGTTGAAACATGGGGAATGAGTGGGAAACAATTGGTTCCCATTGTTTGGATTGATCAAGATATATCCAGCCAGAAAGGAGACCGAGGGGTACCCCTCAACTTGTCCAATCGCTTTACACACTATAGACTATTGATAACTAACACATCCCCCTAGATGTCTGTAAAGAATTCCTCAAATTCAAGTGAAACAATGACCAACACAAAGCAGGGGGTTCTCTCCATCTCATATCTTGCTTCATGTGGATCAAGATGGGAATTTTCTGTTTGTGCCAGCTTAGCTCCGGCATTACGCCAGTTTCTGATGGGTATAAATAACAGTGCACTGCATTCCACATTCCAGTCACCGTAGTTCCCTGAATCACTCGTCTCTTCTTTCAGCCATCCTGATGTTCCGCATCTTCCGCAAGGAGAACAAGACAGTGGTCAAGACGATCCACATGCTAATGCAGGCCCTGGCCATCATCTGTGGGGTCATTGCCCTCAAGGCCGTCTTCCGGTTCCACAATAAGGCTGGCATTCCCAACATGTACACCTTACACAGCTGGGTCGGTCTACCCACGTTCATCTTGTTCTGCCTGCAGGTATTTTGTTCACTGTTTTATCCGTGTGCTTTTATACTAGTCATATGCTTTTGATAGCTTTGCAGATTCTCCAAAGCCATCAGAAGACAGGACTTAAGTGTCAGCCCTGGGGCCAGTTTCATAGAGCTGCTTAAGCACAGAATATGCTTAAGGACGAAAAAACCTTGCTTAATTAAGAAAGGTTACCCCAGCTCAAACTCTTGTGTATTGTCATGCTAACCAAAAGACAGGTACAATATACATCAAACAATATACATCACAAGACGTTTTGGCTGCTAACGTGATTTGTAAAGCAAGGTTTTTTCATGCTTAAACAACTTTTTCGCTTAAGCAGCGTTATGAAATTGCTCTTGTGCTTGTCATTCTATGTTCTCAAATTTTGGACGCATACATGGAGTAGTTGAAGGAAAGGAACATCAAACAGGCATGTATGACTTAAATATTTACGCAAGCTGAGCAGCAGATCCACCTCAGTAGGGCTGTGTCCAATCCACTGGCTATGGCTGAGAGTACCATACGTACATGTGCACAAACGCAGCCATTTATCCAGCAGCTTCCATAGGAGCACACGTAAGTTCCAGCCGTAGCCACAAAATTCAGTCTCCACATGTTCAATCAGAAGATTCCGGCATTGACAATGTTCCCCGACTTCTTTTGCAGTTTATCGGCGGCTTCGTGTCTTTCCTGTACCCGAAGCTGAACGAAACAAGACGGGCCGCCGTCCTGCCCTACCACAAGTTCCTTGGGGTTACCCTGCTAGGACTGGTCAGTGTCACTGCACTGACTGGTATTAACAACAAGCTCTTCTTTGCCATGCCGTGAGTATACGTAAACTCCGCCGTAACATCTTCACGACCACGCACATTCATCCAAGAAAGTCAGCTGAGTGTATAATCATGTATTTGGTGTCCTCAAGTACACTTAGTTTGACGAATTGTTCAGCATTAGTTTTTTTTTATGTAGATGATTTGATGCTCTGTTCACTGATTTTCAAACACAGGCAGAAGTAACCTCATGCTGGAGTATTCTGTTGCTTGGAGGAGCTGGTCCAAGTTGACTTGCAGAACTCTGGCGCGTTGTGTTTTATGTGCATTGTATGTGAAATAAAAAAGGGTTTCTTTAATTCTCGGTTGATGCATTCTGCACAACACAGCCAAAAAGGTCTTGGTGCCCTCTGCCAAATAAATGTAATCAGAAAGGTTGTTTTGGCATCTGTGAAGGATTAACTTGGAAGATGTAGGTCTATAGGCCCTGTGGACTTGGTGTTGGACATCCAGGTACTGGCCCGTCAAAACCCCTAGACTAAGTGCTTCAGTCCCCTTTTAGACACGTAGTAAATTTACCACTCCCTGCAGGGCGACCCATTTTTGAGTACATGCAGAGCTGGGGAGCCCGGAACTGGGACAAAAGAGTTGGTGCTCAGCACAAAAGACTGAGCTGCTGGGCATTACCAACATTTTTTTGCTCTCAATAGTGGAGAAAATCCAGCCTTGTTTTGAAACAGTATACCACGGTTTGAGGCATTTAGAGCGAGCGAGCGGATTACCACCAAGGACAAAAGCTCTCCACCACCGCTGCGTTGAGCCACACAGCACCGCTGCACGCTAATCTGGCCCCCTTTGAAAAGAGGTCAGCAGTGTACTGTGCCAGTTTTGGGAACAAAAGAATCTTGCGTAACACCGCACAATCTGGGCTCTTTTTCCAAGGCTGCAGGCCTGGCTGAAATATTCAGGATTCAATGAATTTACCTGTCAGCTTTAGAGTAGTGCCCAAAGAGTCCTTTATGTGGGTATAAACAGCCATTAAATGAAATGATGAATTTTTGAAGATTTTCAAAAACGGAAAATCTTGAAAAGGTCCCGGCATCTTGTCTTGCTCAAGAAAAATTCACCCTACAGCAAGTGGCTAAATGCTGTGATATTCATCATTTCAGTGGTGGCGAAGGAAAAGAGAAGTACTCCAGCCTTCCGCCCCAGGCCTACGTGGGCAACTTCCTAGGGCTGGCCATTGTCATCTACGCAGTCATTGTGGGCTTTCTGGTGACTTGCGAGGACTACAAGCGGGAGCAGGACGCCTCGAATCCGGAGAAGCTGCCGTTGACCACGGCCGAGATGAAGCAGTTCCAGTCGATGGACCCCGCTGACCCATCAGCAGGGGAGGGGGCCAAGTAGATCACCCTCAACCCCTCAACCTTGATCTGTCAACCCCTACCCAACCACCTGTGCTAGTCTGAAGGGATAGACAAAAAAGAAGGATGTAAGACCTTCTATCCTCACCTCCAAGCTGATTTCCTCAACCCACATTCCTAATCCAAGTTTGCATGCTAACAACTGACAAAGCTTTTACAATCCATCATTAGGAGCTATATAGGAAGATACTAAAAATAGCTGTAACCTTTATCCTTGCACTTCAATAATCCACAAACCCAGTGTTGCAGACTATTCATCTTTGACCTCTAGCACTACCAGAGAGAGCCAATTAGAGTAGAGGTGTCATTTCATTATACGAATGCCCAGTCCTTCAGACAGCAAATCCCTTCCACTCCACAGCCATACATACCTGCGACAAATGATAACTGTTATCTTATTTGCGGCCATGCAGCCTTTAGTTCCTTTTTTGACTGTTGGCCCATTTCTAGTCTTTGCAAACTTTGCAGGTGATAAGCCCCTCAGGATGAAAATCCCGATTGCTTCGCATGAAAGCCTTTCATAGCCAGACTCCTGATGAGGCTGAATTGGTTCATGGATATATTTATAATTGTGTAAGGATATTACAGGGGCGGATCCAGGAGTGGTTTGGGGAGAGAAATTTCCAGACTCTTTTTTTATGTCCTACTGTTCTCTGTGCAGGATCCCACCTTTATTATTAGCGCTGTAGGGTACAGAAGCGTGACGGCATTTGACATATGGAGTGCACAACACGTTCATACATTCCGAAATTTGTATCCTTGTGGACGCATGGCTTTTTTCTCCAGCACTAATTTGGCCGCGTGTGAAACGATGTATTCAAAATGCTCCCATTTAAACATGAATCACTCTCCAGGACTGAAATTTCGACCGAATGTCCCTTATATGAAACACTTCAATTTGCTACGGATTCCTACGCATTAAAGATTTCTCCTTTTTGAGCAATTTGCAAATATCAGTTTCGTGAAATCATTGTGGAGACCTATACACCTTCAGAAATTCCTTGTGGAGACTTAATTCAACCCATTCTTCTGGTCTCCACAAGGCACCATATTTCGAAACATGTTGGTTCACGTGCTGGTTCTCACGCCTAGTGCCTTTGACACACATAATTGTGCACGTGACGGATTCACCCTGACACTCTTTAACTACAGTTTGATTGATTTTTTTTTTTTTTTAAAGTTTATTGGTGTCAGAATGGAGGGGGGGTTGATCCCACTGTCTGGATCCACCCCAGCTAGACCCCCCAAAATTTTGAATTGAAATTTGAACAACAATCCTGCTTTGTTATAAATTTGTCTGCATATTGGTATTGTGATGACAGCAATACAGTTACCTTTGTTAGGATCTACAGTAGATAGTTGCAGGTGGTAGAAGTAGACACCAGTTGGAGACTTTGAGACGCCTGGTGGCGGCAGACAAAGCCGGTCCTTTTCCGTGGTTGTTCGCATGCTCAGAACTAACATGCTTGCCTAGAACTGCACGCGCATGCCCACATCAACCAAAAAGGACCGTTGTGCCTGCCGTCACCAAACTTGTGTCTCAAAGTCTCCCTTTCAGCTATATCTATGCCATAAGCAAAATAACAGTGAGAATAAGTGACTAGTGGTATCATAATGCAACACTCCATGATCAACTAACCCTAACCCATGCTAAACCCAGTGACACTTTTTCCTTGCTGGATTCTGTGTGGCTGAGCAGGGTGCCCAGAAAAAACCCGAAGGCGGTTAGGGTTAAATGATTTTTGAGCTGTGAAAAAAATTCCTTGCTACGGTTCAGTGTCAACATGTATTCCTGCAAATAAATAATATATCTATATAGAAAGTATATTGAGAGATATATAAAAGTGGGCGAAAGAAAGTGTTATTCTCCTTCATTTGTGGAACATAATGTATTCTATTTTGGTGTTATGATTGTGCAGTGGACACATGTTGCATTGCAGCGCTAAACAATGGTTGTGGGCGTGGCCATGAGTTTGCAGATTTAGGGGAAGGTCTGGGTGTATCATTGTAGACTTTTAACTGCCAGGACCGATGGTGGAAAGGTTTCCTGAAATGAAGCAAACTTTTGGCTTTGTGTTGCTGAAAACCTCACCACTTGTTCTTGTCTCGCATGAAGCGTGTTTCTGCATACGTGTCATTGTGATATGCATCATGTATTGCACTTGGTGTGTGTATATGTAATCCTAGTGAAAGGTACTCTATCTCTCTGCCTTATAAATAGAATTCAACCGAAAGAAGGTTGCATTATTCAGGAATAGAGAAGTTTAATTTATGTACTTGGTCGCATTTTATTAGTTTTGAATGGACAAGTTTGACAGTATTATGGTGTAGGTGTCAAATATTTCCTGTACATTTGGGGAGGGGGATTTTATCAATTGTATGTAGTGAGAACGTACATTTACCTGTGCACCTTCCTGTGGAGTCAGTGGGGGCCCCATGGAGTACAGAAAGAAAGCACAGCCATAAACTAAGTGTGGCACCAATAGTACATGGGTTTTGGGTCACTTTTTCAATTACCTTCTTGAAAAGAATATTTGGGGATGAGTGCGTTAGCGAGACACTTTTGGGACTTTTCTGTCCTGAGTATTATCAGTTTCCATCGTTGAAGTCTGTGTTTGGTAGAATCACAGAATGTACTAATGATGTCTCTCGGTGTTTACTGCAGTGCATTGTGGTACAGAATGGCGGCCTTCATTACAGTGCACGTGACCGTTGTATGCCAAAAGTAGGGGAAATGACAGAGGTATTTGTATGATCTTTCCAATCACAAGAAAGTGTCGGGCCCAATCTTACTGTTTCCAGTTGTGGCAGATAATTCCCTCTGTGATAACAATGGTTACCAAGAAATCTGCCTTTTGGATACGGGTAGTAATACGAATAGGACAGCAGTGTATGGCGATAATGTGCAACGATGAGGCTTACTATATCCCATGTAAACACTGTACTGCGTCATTAGAGCATATATTTAGCTATTGACATAAAAACTTCTTGACTTGCTTAGGGGACTTCAGGCTCGTTTCATGGAATTTCATATTGATTTCCTTCTTGGTGACTTCTCTCTCTCCGTTTCCATCTTATGAACCCACCAACCCTACTTGAATTGGTGCTAAACTATTGCAATTATCAGGTGTATACCTTACAACATTACCTGTAATTTAAAATTTGGAATCATTATCTTTACACATCATCATGGTAAGAACTGTAAAATAATTTCAAATTAATGAATGGAGATATTTCAAGTTTGTGTCATTCATTATAACTTGATGCAGGGTTCTGTTTTTATAATTTTATTTACATATTTGATTTAGTAAGAAAAAGTTTAAGACTGTACCTAAGTAAGAAATATCTATCCTTTTCTGAATTAAACTTAAGAATTCTACCTTGTGAAACTAGCGTTGGTGAAAGGTATACCAAAAGAAATTATTGGGTCAACAGCTTTCTGTGAAATTACTTTTTAATTACTAACGTGCATTAGAAACTGTAGCTAGTGTGTATTGCCTGTGTTGTATGTGTAAAGTACTGCTTGTCAAAAAGTGATAATAAAAACACCAAGCAGCAGAAACTGACATGACTACCTTTTGATGATTTTTGTATCAGTTCCTGTTAAACGCTTACGATTTGATTGTTGGATAGTGCTACATGTCATATTGTAGTTGGATAGTGTCATGCCATACATCATGGTGAGATAGTGTGATATGTTTGATGTGACTGCCTTTTGATGACTTCTGTATCAGCTCTTAACGCTTACGATTTGATTGTTGGACAGTGCTA